TATAATATAAGTACAAATATTGTGTTACATTAATGAACTACTGTTACCTAAGCTAGGGCTAGTTTACCTCTTGGCCTGTACTCTACTAGAGTGGGTCATCAGCCTCATCTAAATTTGTAGTTGGATCTTTGCTATAAATGTATTACATTACTGCGTTTTTTTGGAATTAGGCCTAAATTAAAAACCCCGAATTACTATTGAATTATTGTGATTATTAATAATGATTACGTGTCAACCACATGACGCATATACTAAAATGAACCCAAATCGAATAAAACTAATATAGTTATCACGTCAAACCCATCTCCCCACCTTAAAACCCATCTCCTTCTGTAATAGTAAAATTTATTGTAAATCTGCCTATGGTGATAAAAATACGATAGTTAATCACAGTCAAATCATTTAACACGTCCGTCAAATATGCGTCATAAATTTTAGGGTAGTGTAAAAATGCGCCGTAATGCTTTTAAAATTTTGTTATGAAAAACAAAACATACAAAAATTTTTTTTGAAATTTCAAATTTTGACCCGGCTGGGTTATGAAAACCAATTCATTGATTTTACATGGCCTTAAATGCAAAATTTTCAGCAGCGCGGTAAATTTTTGGATGTCTTTAGACTGCGCACACCATATTTCTTTGAAGCATCATTAACTGTTAATTATATAAATTTATTACATGCTACGTACTGGAAAGCAACAGTCTTTAAATATTATTCGTGAGTATGTCAAAATTTAATCTGTATACAGTATAATCATATACCGTAAAACGTCAGCCAATCAATTTTAAGGATCGACAACCAATCAGATGTGATATTTAATCATGCAATAGCGATAGCAGATAATCTATCGCTCTACACTATCGACGTTCAATATTAATAAGTACAGTACGTAAGTATTTGTTATCCGATATTTTATCATATAGTAAATTTTACCAAGCAGTTAAAACATGCAAGTAAAAGTTCAAAATCAACTTTATAATAGAAATTTGATTTCAGCAACTTTTAATACTTGCAAGATAAAAATAAAAAAACTCTTCTGTTTGAGGCGCTGCATTATTTTATATTAAAAGATTATGTAGCGTTATAGGTATGAAAGAGTACAATCTATCATCAAAGTGAATACAAAGATTTTCTTTTAAAAAAGTCATGGATTACCTACGCATTTACTAATATATGTTTATTGTTTGTTATATGTTAAGGCTTTTAGAAACTCGATGCGAATTTGATCATATTAGTACTACTTACCTAATTCATAATTACAAATATTTTAAAAAAAAAATTTTATTGTTTGAGATCTATCATTATAATGAAGGTTGTAGCGTTAATAAGCGGAGGAAAAGATAGCTGTTTTAATATGATGCATTGTGTTGCAAATGGTCATCAGATTGTAGCATTAGCAAACTTGAAGCCTCTTACGGATTCTCAAAAAGGTATTCTAAACAATCTAATAATATATATTATATATATATATTAAACTTTGTTGTTTTTGTCATAGATGAACTTGATAGTTTTCTTTATCAAACGGTTGGCCATGATGCTATCTCATATTATGCCGAATGTATGAATTTGCCTTTATACAGACGTGAGATTTTTGGCCAGTCATTAATACAAGAGTCTGATTACAAACAGACTATCGGTGATGAAACTGAAGATTTGTTTGAATTATTGAAAGAAGTTAAAGTTAGTAAATTTAGATAGCTTTTTAAGTTTAAATAATATAGACTTGAACTGTAATTTAATTGTTAGGAAGCAAATTCTGATATTCAAGGGGTTTCTGTTGGTGCAATATTATCAAATTATCAACGTGTTCGTGTTGAAAATGTGTAAATGTAATTCTATTCCGTCAATTAATCTTTTTTACTGGTTAGATGAACATCATTTATTCACATTCTCCAAACCTTTATTGCACTATAGATGTAATCGTTTAGGGCTTATACCTATTGCGTACCTTTGGAGAAGAAGTCAAAAAGAATTGCTGTCTGAAATGATTAATGCTAGGATTAATGCTATATTGATTAAAGTTGCTGCTATTGGCAAGTATTTATTTTATTTTCATTTATTTTTATTTTTATTTTTTTAAGGTTGAATGTAATTTCTATAATTTCATGTCATATAGGTCTCAAACCAACACATTTGGGTAAATCTATCGAAGAACTATATAATTACTTGTGTAGTTTGGTATGTTTGAATATCGGTAAATATCATGCAATTTCATAATCGTATTTAACACGTCATATTATAGAATGAAAAATACGATGTTCATATATGTGGGGAAGGAGGTGAATATGAGACATTTACTTTAGATTGTCCATTATTTATCAAAAGGCTGCATGTGTAAGAGTTAATATTCTTTATAATTTTATAAATGATTCTCAATAATTTTATAAATGATTCTCAATATGTTTATAATTCATTACTGTATTCTGCTGTTAAAATTTTAACAGTGAAGAAAGCGAAATAATCACGCACTCTGATAATGCGTTTGCAGAAGTAGCTTATCTTCGATTAAAAAAATTAATTGTGATGGATAAACCAGTTAACAGTGCTATTATGAACTTGATTAAAGTTCCTGCATGGGATGATGACTTTGAGAATGTTTTGAGTGAACTAGAGGTATTGTTTTTTCTAACAAATATTAAATTGTATTTAGTTTTTTAGATCAATCTAATTGTTGGAATGTTAAAGGTATTTAAAGGCGAGAATGTTTTAAATGCCGTTCCGAAAATAGATATTGATTACATCCCAGAGATGAATAATCATTACATGGGTAATTAACTAACTATATATTTCCGAAAATAAGCTCACTATATATATTTCTTAAAATATCACCATATGTAAATGCTAGTTCTTACTATTTCATCTAAATACTTGTATCTGAAATTAAGATCTATATATAAAAGAGAACTTGTTTTTGGGAATACACAATATATCAATTTTTCTAATATTTGAAATTTGTACGCTTTAAAGAACAAACATTTACAATTGGTAGACCTTTATAATGTGCATGCAAACCCACCTTACTTTGCAATATCTGGGACAACAGCTTATAATCATAAAATTTCTCGAACCGCCCGATCTTCGATAGATACAATTGAAGATGAAACGCATGTATGTATGAAGAACCTCGAAGGTAATAAGATTTGACACTTAAATCTTTGGATTTCTTTTTTTTTTTTTTTTTGTGAAGGCATGCGAATTAATGCTAGATTCTACAAATTAGAACGATTGATTGAATTAGGATTAGATTGGACCGATGTCATAAATATGAATGTATTTATCAAAGATATGAATGAATTTGGAAGAATGAATGCTATTTATAAAACATTTTTTGATATAAACCCACCGACTAGGTAATATTTGATTTTAATAAGTTAATTATTAAATGTAAATTACAACTTATATTTGTATTAGAGCATGTGTTGGATGTAATCTTCCACCTCCGGCAAGGATCAAAATCGATTTAGTTGCTATAAAATTTAAAGATAATTCGAACATTAAACCTGTCAACACTATGCATGTTCAAAGCATGTCATATTGGGCACCTGCAAATATTGGGCCTTATTCTCAAGCCAAAATTGTAAATTCTAAATCAAATCATCAGAAATTTAAACGCCAAAGTCTATATTGATTTTTTATTTCATTTTTTTTTAGATAAACAATCATGCGTATATAGCAGGACAAATAGGTCTAATTCCCGCATCTTTAAACTTTCCAACCCCCCTCAGCCTGTATTCCCAAACTATACTTTCGTTAAAAAATTTGGAAAGAATCACATCAGTTTTGGAATTGGACGTTTGGAAATTTTCGGTGGGATGTATTTGTTTTGTAGATGAAGACATATCTTTTGAAGTTGTGCGAAAGGCTTGGGAGTGTGTCCGTAAATGGAGAAAGGGTGAAGTGAGTTGGGCATAAAATTTTGTCTTTGAGCTAGGGTCATGTTCTAACCTTTTTTTTTAATATAGAATTGTTTCAAAGTACCACCAATTCTTTACATTACTGCACCATCACTTCCTCGGGGAGCTAAAGTTGAATGGCAAGTTTTGTTACATGATGGAAGAATAAACCACAAACATTATGATGATTATTTGGAAGAAGATTCAAGGATTTTAAATTTTGAACCTGTTTCAGGGGAAGGTATTTATATTACCATTTAAATCCTTTTATTCATTTATTTGCTAGAATTATGAAAAGTGCTTAATTTGATTTATCTACTATGATTAAAGATACTTTAGACACGATAAATTCTTGCATAATTAAGATAACCACGTTGTTTATAAGCCCTATATTAAATAGTGTTATAACAATAAAGGTTGAAAAAAGTAAGTCTTACTTTATTTAATTTGATTTATACAGATAATTTTTTCATTTTATTTATTTTTATTTTTATTTTACTAATAGGCATAACACTGACAACGTTATTAACTTCAATAAAACTCGGGTTACTCAAAATACATGATCAATTTCACAAATACAATCATCTGGAGGATAAAAATGATCCATCTAGTAAAATATTTTGGATCAGCATGTCATTTGTTAAAGTTTTTTATTCAGAGAAAATTGAAGTTGATGTTGAAACTTTAGAACGAGGTGCTTTTTGTACTACAGTATATTCCGCATAATTAAGCCTTTTTTTTTACACTTTGTCATTTTTTATTTGATATAGGTGTAAAATCAATGATAAACTCCAAGTTCCCTTCAGATATGAAACCTGCCATAACATTTGTTCCAGTTGTAACTATTGATGGTGACTGTACGGCTGGTATTTATGTTCAATGTGATTTTTAAGTAAGTATTTGAAAGATTTACATTAATAAAAAAAATATCAATGGGTCTAGAAATCTGTATTTGTAAAAAATTTCAAAATTTATAAAAAACTACTTTTTATAAACCAGATTGAGATCATGATCCTAGTTGCGATTCAAAATGTCTATATCAGAAAAAACAAATGGTACGCATAATGCTATTATGGTAATACAGGTACTGTATCTTCTATCGATAAGTTCCATCGAAGATGTAATATTATCAAGGT